ATTGGTGCTGGATAAGCTTGAATCGACAGTGGAAATATCAAATGGAACCAACACAAGTATTGAAAGCCACAGCAGTATCACACATTGAGCCTCCATCTCTCCAGTACTCTCTTGTCGCAATGTGGTCACCGAGTTTGTATTTTGACACCTCTCCAAGAGAGACACAGCAAGTTCCAAATCAGAAACCTGATGTGGGAAGAACCTGATGACAGCCTTGTATCCACAGACCGTAACTAAAGTATAGATAATGATGCATATTGGCTTTATTGCTTCAAGTACTTTGTTGGAAGCTACGTCAAGTTCAGTTGCTTTAGAACAAACTAGAGACATCAAAGGAGAGACTATGATCTCCAAATAGGGCTCTACCAGCTGACCCTGTTCTTGATATTTGTCCATCTGTTTAAGAAGACAATTTTCAGAATGTCAAGTGATGTGTATTGCATAAAAATTGAGTCTAGTTTCAATTTCAAACGTAACGAAGAAACATATCGACTAGAAATTCTATCCATCCCACTATGACTAGCTAGCAGCTGGTTTTAATCAGCATTACCCAAAAATCGATAGTCCCAAAATAAGTCAATGATTTCATTCTCATTTCGACAGATCTCATAATCCTTACACATGGATCGAATCATGAACTTAAAAAGCAGTGGGATCTTTTAATTCTCACGAACTAGTTTACTTATATCCGTCAAATACATGCCCCGCTTGGCAAATTAAACAGTCGTTAGACCAGAACTAGAAGCTAAACAACCACCAAATCACTAAAAGTTTCCGAAACGAAAACTTCGAACACGTAGATTCAATGTGCGACCTCGACACGAAATGGAAAGAGAGTTCCGGAAAATATTACAATGGATCGGATCTTGTGAACGGACGATATATCAGAGACGCGTCCATTTGAAGCTATATCATCGAGAATGGATTTGACGAGCTTCCATTCTTGAAGAAAATACTTCTGGATTACCCTCTCCTTCGATTCGTGCTCGTCATCGTCGTCGTACGTTACCATTCCGTCAAACTCCTCATTCTTTGGGGCTGTTTCAGTCGTTGCCGCCATGTTCAGAGCAGTAGAAGCTCGAATTCCCGCCCGCTTCACTGAGCTCTTGTAAGAACAAAATATAAGTTGAAAAAATAAAGTGGGGAGCTTCAACGAGGAATATTCGTGTAAAAAATAGGTTATTTAATATTTTAAATTATTTTTTAATTAATATTTTAAAGTAAGTTTTAAAGTCTTATTTTTATTAATCGTTTCAAATTCCCCCAATAAAATAAAATAAAATGAGAAAATATTATGATTAATGGATATTAGGTTGACCTAATATTTTAATAGGTTATTTCAAATTTCTATGGTAATACATTAAAACTAATTTACCCATTTATACTAAATAAATCTTTTTCGAAATTAAATTAAATATTTTAAACATACAACAATTTTAGAAAATAAAAAATATATATTAATAAAATTACTGGACTGAAAGAATTTACTGCCTTTTAGAAAAATAATAACAATTAACAAATAAAAATTATATTATCAGCACTTAACATTTTTACTTTTTTACTTACTTACCTAAACTTGTTGTTACTGTGGTTATGTGAGAAAATAAGAATTTGAAACATAACAACTTATAAGTTTAATAAATAATCTTTAAAACAAATCAACCGAAAATTAAAATAAATATAAGTAAAAATAAAACAGAAATTGTAACGACCCGAAATTTTGTACTTGAATTAAGGTCGGTACGATATACCTATCATGAACATTGAAGGTAGAAATATTTCATTTAAAACACAGCCATGAATTTACGTGTTTTGAAAACTCTTTTAAAAACGACACAACAAAAGACTGAATAAAATAAATAAATGTTTAAATTTAAAAATTATATTCTAGCCTAAGTCTAAGAAAATAAATATATGTGTCATGATCTCGACTTGCGATGTCATTATTAGCCGTACAAAAATGTCTTGCCTTAACCTACAATAGAGGTAGCACTTGACTTTAGTATTTTAAGAAGTACTTAGTGAGTGTAACCTCACTATTGGGGATAAATGCAATAACATGCAAATGGAATGACTGAACCTATCATATCATTCTCTTTCCTATGGCACTATCTTAATATACAACTTGGATGTGTACCATATATTATGCACAGAGCTCATACATATTCTTTCTACGTTTTACCAATCTATCATAATCTTATCCCTTTCTACCCATAACTTAATCGTATTCTTTTATCAACGATCGTGACTATATCATTTTTATCAATCTCTCATATCCATAGTATTTCGATACGAACCCTAACTTTAACGTTACATGAACATATCTTACTCCAATCGTTACATTATGTTTAGTGCATCCTTCTCGTATCGTATCTCAAACATATCATTGAACACATCGTATCGAATAAAACCATATAATATTAACCATAATATGAACCAATATAGAAATTGAAATTATTGTTTTTCTTTTTCATTTCAAAAGTAATCGATAAACATTCCTCGTCTTCATCCACGTGGAATTCTTATTTATTTCATGGAGATTGAATTTCTCGCAATAAAATAAATCTCTCCCTGCTATCTCCTTCATTTCACACTTAAGCAAGGATTTTATTAGATCCCATATGATAATAAAGGTCATAATGAAAGGCTCGATGTCGTACGTACTCATTCAAACGTGTTACAACGCGCTATATACAAACATCGCCTCTTTAAAAAATTGACTTTTTAACCCTTGCCTAACTTTTTAACATATTATCGTCGTCTCTAAGCAACTTAATAAATTTTGTACTAATTTTACAATCTGAAATAATCATCCATCATGAATATTACATTACAAATATAAGAGAAAAAAGAGAAAAACCCGCTCTTATGCCTATTTACATCAACAATTCTAATATAGTATTATTTTTCATAATCATCATAAACGAACGAACTCGATAATTTCTTTAATTTTTATCGATTAATTATATAATAGTATCACTAGACGACTAAACAATACAAGTTTATGGTAAACAAAATTACGGATAAGGTTTAATTTTTATATTTAATATATTACTCGTTAGAATTTTTTGGTAGCGTGTACACATATTATATATTATAAATATGAAGTAAATATGAAATGCTAAAAAAATATGAGGGTGTTAAATTAAATTTTTGAAAACTAGTTGTATTTTTTTTAATTTTTTTGAAAAAAACTATGTTTGAAATATTTTTAAAAGTTTAATGGTATTTTTTAAATAAAGTAATATATATATATATATATATTTTTTTTTTACTCTTTAAAAATTTTAAAATTTTAAAATTTTATTGATAGATTTTTAGATAAATGACAGAGTTTAATATTTTTTTTTATTTAAGCCTTAAAAAAAATAATAAAAAAATGTAAATAAAAGTAGTGTTTATATGCTTTTAATTTTCAATAACCAAAAATTTAAAATTAAATATTAAATAGTTATATGAGGAAAACCTAACTATTAAAGCCAATTCATTAAATTAGTTTTTGTTATGAAATTTCAATTGAATTTATAAATATTTTAAAAATATTTATTGTTTATAATTTAATAATCATATCCACCTTAAAAAAGTCATAAATATATAATATATATTGTTTAAAAAATATTATAATATTATAATATTTTATTATTACAAAGATATTTTAAAAATAAAAAATAATGGTTAATACCCTAATATAGCATGTGAAAAGTTTATTTACTAATTTTTTATTTTTTAATGTACTTTCAAAATATCTCTAAAATCTTAATTAAGTCTTATTTCTAAAATAAAATAAAACAATTATATATATTTTTATTTTCTTAAAAAATAATTAATTAAATAAAGAAATTATGAGTAAAAGAAGTTTTTTGCTTTACTATTTTCTGCTTTTATTTACTAATTAAATAATGATTTATAAAATTAGGAAGTCTAATATGGTAAATAGTAACCATAGACCATAATCATAATTAAGCCTTAATAAGGAATTAATAAAAGATGCATTAATTACATAAGACTTTTTAAATCCATTAACAAGGGTAGTTTGGGAAATTTGAAGATGGCAATTTGATTTTGACCACACCCAATCCCGCCCACGAACATGACGCTTATTATTTTAAATTATAATATTCATTAAAAAAAATTGTAGGATCACATTTTATAAATTTCAATTTAAATTATTAATTTCATTAATTATATTTTTTCATATTTAGATATGTGCTTTCTCAAATTAAAAATAAAATATTAATAATTTTATTTATTTTTTCCTTATTTAAATTGAATTGTTATAACTTTATTATTTTTTACTAAATTATTCTATAAAAAAATTAATAATTTGCCCTCTATTTTTACATAATTTAATTCAAATTAAAATTTTAAGAGTTACTTTTTAATAAAAAAGAAAACTCAAAGTCATCCGTATAATATTTATTTTTATAGAAAATAAAGTTAGGTACGTAAATATCAATTTCCAAAAATATAAATGAAAAATAGTTTTCCAAAATATTTAGAGAAGCAGTTTACCAATTTTATTTAAAAAAACTTAGTAAAATAATTCTATAGTTAGTATTTTAAAATAATATAATTAAGCATTTTTTTAAAATTCTAAATATAATAATGGATATTAAATTAATTTATATTTTTTTTTAATAATCAAATTCTTTTTAGGTTGGACAAGTATGTCATATTTAGTCAACTTTAGATTCCCTCCCATTCTATGTGGAAAACGAAACCATAATTTAATTAATATTTAATTTAAATGGAAATAAAATATTAGGCTGAAATTTAGTTTTTTTTTTAATTAATTCTCTAAATTAAAATACTTAGTTAATTTCTAGGTTAAGTCATTTCTTTATAAAATTTGGAACGATTTTGTATTTTTATTAAATTTAATAAAATTAAGTTAAAAAAAACCAAAGAATTGTTGATATACAACCTGCCGTGTTCATTGACCATAAATTCGCTCTCTAAACAAAGAGAACTTGAGAGAATTGATTATTATTCTTTCAAATCCTTCTTGCTTCTCGTTTTTCCACCATTTCCATGGATTTCTCGAAGCTTTCCGGTGGAAATTATGTGATTCCGTCTCTCTTCTTCGCTGGAGTTCTCGCTTTATGCATCTGGTCTTCCTCTGTTTCCAATCCTTTCATGCTTCTTTCCAACGGACGCTATTGCAGCAACACGAAGCTTCAAAATCAGGTCTCAGTCGCGTAATCGCATTCTATTTCTCTATGTTCTTTTTTGTTTTTGATCAACTTTGAATTGATTGTGCTTTGTTCTGGATCAATTGTTGGAGAGTACTACTTGTGATTTTGATTCGGTCGCGTAATCGCACGGAATCGTCTATTTACGACATTTTTGTGTGATTTAGAGTTGATTGTAAAGTCGCTCTGGATTAATGCTGCAGAATGTACTAGCGATCTCGATTCTGTTGCAGATTTTGTGTAATTTTGAATTAGTTGTTGTAGAACCGTGCTACTGGCTTTGATTCTGTTGATATTAGAAATGATTATAAATTCGCTCTGGAATTCGTTATTTATTTGAGATTTTCTTGAAATTATGAATTGATTACAATTTCGCTTTGGATTCCATGATTCAGAGTAATACCAGCAATTTCGATTCTGTTGCACCACGAGACGAGCTTGAATCGGCTTTAGCCAGAGCGTCAATGGCGAACAAGACGGTGATAATCGCTGTCATAAACAAGGCGTACGCCAATCAAGAACCGGAAGCCGTTACTACTATGCTCGACGTGTTTCTCGACAGTTTCTGGCTAGGAGAAGGCACTCAAAGTTTGGTAAATCACCTCCTCTTCGTCGCCGTCGATCAGACGGCGTACGACCGTTGCCGGTTCCTTCGCCTGCACTGCTACCGACTGGTAACAAATGGCGTCGATTTCGGCGGCGAAAAGCTTTACATGTCGGAGGATTTCATCAAGATGATGTGGAGTAGGACTGAGTTTCTTTTGGAAGTCCTCAGACGGGGATACAACTTCATCTTCACGGTACGATTCGACTTTTGGTAATTTATTTTCACTCAAAATCTTATTAAAAATCATTATTTATTTATTTATTTATGTATTATAACAAAAATAAACTTACCAAAATATTTAATCTCAACAAATCCAAAAAAAAAAAATAATAATAAAAATATAATTTCTCAAATTTATAGAGCGCTTTTTCATAATTATGTTTTTTTTTTTTTTTTTTTTTTTTTTTTTTTTTTTTTTTTTTTTTTTT